TTCTTTCTAATAGCGATCAAATAACTTTCAAGATAATCATTGAATCTATATTTCATTCATTATAACGTATATCAGAATTGAAGACGCTGTTTGTTTTTTAGATAAAGCAAAACAAAAATAACTTTCAATATTGCATCTCCTTCAAGACTTATCTTACACGTCATAAGGTAAAGCGCTTTGATATCTTTTGACTTAATTTTAGGGAAACAAATTAGAGAGAGATATATATGCCGAGAACCAGTGTATGTTTAACATGACGAAATACGATATATTAATCTGATAGGAACAGAAATAATTTTTTCTGAAACACCTTCACCATGTTTGCAATTTTGTCCTGTCACTTGTTCCGTCATTTATGATACATGTGCGCCGGTAGTGCAATGGTTAATGAGCCGTATTCAGATTCCAGCCAAGACATGAATCCATCTCTTCTTTCCCTAGATACAGGTTAATTAGTCCGACTGAACTTTTAATCGTGGTTGGCAAACAGTCTAGAAGAAGGACAACTCTGAATTCAAAACCGTTTTGTAGTCCTGCATGTATTAATCTGTCGACTTTATGATCTCGAAAGAGGTCGACTAAAAATTATTAAAAAATTGCCAAGAATCCAATTATCTTACGGTTCTAACTATATTTGCAGTCTTAACACTCTGAGATTATAAAAAAAAGATTCTAAAATAGCATCTTGCAAAGAGCTTACTTTTCCAACCAATGATGTTCTCTCTGCGTCAGGAGAAAACATATTTTATCGTTCGTTATTTCCTCCTAAAAATAATATTCTCATATATGTCCTTTAGAAGAAATTATTACCAATAACTCTAATTTTGCACTCTGGCGAATTTTAATAAGCAAAGGAACAGTCTCTGTTTGATATGTTCAGCTGATATGTTCAACGTTAATCAAAAGATGACGCAATTGACAAGATTCATTTGAGTCTTGATTGGAACACATGCGCTCATTGCAAACTTTTCGACTCGATAGTCAGCCAAGAAGATTAAAAAGCAAGGAAACGTAGTAGAATGTAGATCGTGTTGATTCTTGAACCTGGATTTTCCTGCATCGTTGTTATGGAATGAGGAATCGGACATTTCCTGGCGACAACCAAACGATGCAAATACAGAACGAAGACTCCTAAATGTTCGCTCTCTGTTGACGGTTTGCCAAATAAACTTCTTGCCAGATTCGATTACATTATTATCATCGACATTTTTTGCCTTTCTTCAATGAAAATGTTCAACAGCGCCCTCTGGTGACAAACATTTATTCAAATTTTAATGAATAATCAAATTCTGATGATTATAAGAATCTATTAGAATTCCTTGAACTCATTTTGATGATTTTTCCTTTCCATCAAATTGGATTTGGTAAAATCAGAGGAAATGAATGAAAATAAATTTAATTCACAGTTATACACCGCAGGTAAAAAGATTTAGGACATGAAGAAATATTAATGGCTCCACGGCACAGCAAGGCTACTGCCTAAAATTATTATTAAGGTGAACAGTATTTTCATATGAATGATAGACGAAATTGTTGAACAATGGTTAAATATAAGAAACTCATTTGAAGGGGGAGAGGATATGGAGGCGAGAGTTGTGATGATCGTCGATAGAAAACTGGAAAGTGTCGTAAAATTCTGCTTAAGATCAGAACAAATAGTAATTATTTATTCTTCCCCGTCAAACATATATATATATATATATATATATATATATATATATATATATATATATATATATATATATATAATAATGGATTTTTTCATTTATTAATCCGACATGTTTTTATTAATTAAACATTATTTTTAGAGGATGCCCGTATTTGAGTAGACGATCTGTTTATTTATTAAACAGTATAAGACTTATTTAACAGCACTATTCGAGATCTGATGGTCACAAGGTTCTCTGTAGCTGAGAGGTCAAAGTACGTCAGATCTAATGACGGATTCCTCTAGGTTGAGATCCAGCCGCCGGTAGATGAAAATAAATAGATATTTTGTAAAATGAATAAACAGAGCATCTATTCAAATACAGGTATTTGCTAAAAATAACATAAGTGAGTAAATCGTTCTCTTTTTTCTTCATATTAGTTAATATTTGTTGGGCTTATTTATCTTGTGTCGCTTGTCCGTTTCTTTCATTTCTTCCATTTTCAGCTCTACAAGACGCAAGGATTGAATTGACAACTAATCGACTTGGTTAGTATTCTCATGAACAATCTAGGGGTGCCATAAACCTGTGTTCAGCTAGTTGGACTATATGAGTGACCTGACTGACAGTGGAACTGTATGTGTTCTGACTTATTTTTTGTACTGTTCTTTCTTTATTTATTAATCAGAGACTCTCAGATGGTATTTATTTCTATGCTGGGTCTACTGAGGAAGTATAAGAACCAAGACAAACATGCTGGAGAGAATAGTAAAGCATAACGCCATACTGAATTGTTCAATTCTTTCTGTATCATCTTAATTCTTTTTACTTTTATAATAGCGATTTTCTAAAAACTGTGGCGCGGTCAATGAGTACAAGCGTCGATAGCACGACAAACGTTTAAAATTAATTTGAATCTCAATACAAAGATTATTTCATGCAAACATTAAGGTTGTGAATAAAATGAATCTTTCTTCACATTACTTTCATGCAACATATGATAAATGGCTTAACAAAAACAAAAATTATGCATTACGTTGTCAAAGGGTTTGCAAGAGATAACTCGAATGAATGAAACATAAAGGAAATTGTCGAAATCTTTAAGAATCATTCTAACCATCGTTTTTCAGAAAGAAATGGCGAGAGTTGTGTCAATTTCAAGTTTGACATAGACATAAGTTCGTACGTTATAACAATGAAATAGTCACATGGCAAAAATGATTTGAAAATTTAGAGAGATTTCATTATGTGAGCACCCAGATTGAAACTAGTTATAGTAATAAATAAAGTTTTCTTCCTTTTAATGGAAAGGGCCTTCAAAATTTCTAATCGTTTCCACTTGAGGTAAAGCAATCAATTTGAAACCAAAAGAAAGTTGCCAAAATTATCAATAGATATTCTTTGTCTGCTCTATATAATAAAATGGGTTTACATGAAGGATTGTCTAAATATTATATATATATATATATATATATATATATATATATATATATATGAGAGAAGAGAAAACCGCAAACTTTATTTTCCATATTTTTTGCTACACCAAGAATACTTTCGTCACAAGTCCAAGAAAAATTTGCGTTACTACTACACACAAAATACAATGGTTAAACATTGCCAAAAACATAAGGAAAATTAATGGAAATAACTACTTTTTGCCTGATGAAGGTCGCGAAACCGGAAACGTGTGTAGCAAAAATATGGAAAATAAAGTATAATACATATTTAAAACAATTCATCCATATTATAATCAAAAACGTTTGTGGTTTCTCTCTACTCTTTAAAATATACACTTTTCCCTTGTTGGAACTGCTATAACCTCTTATATATATATATATATATATATATATATATATATATATATATATATATATATATATATTGAAATTATTTTGCGTCGTGAGATTTTATTCAAAATCAACAAAAGTTCTTTATTTAAGTTTTTTTTTCTTGGTTGAGATTGTGCAATGTATTCAAAGTGCTTTCGGCCTCCATAAACCATTATCAAATGATTTTATTTTTGTCTTTCAAGTTCTTTGCGTGTATGCATTTTTTGCGTCGCGTCTTTACTCGTCGCTGTTAAGTTAGTTTCATTAAGTATTGTATCTTCACATACCGGTCCGTGTCATATCAATTTTTTTCTTTTTTAAGTATCGATTCTTCACGCGTCTCTTTGTGGTGAGGCATTGCTTTTTATATTATTAGTTGTTAAACATATGGAGTTTGTCTGATTATAAATTTAATAAAATGTTAGTGAAGTTTCTTTGTTATTTTTATGGTTAAGTCTTCGAGTAGTTTTTTTTTCCAGTTTATGTGACATATTTGAATGTTATTGGTTCACATTTGTCATATTTATTTTGGTTGTTTTTGTTGTGGTGTTGGTAGGTAATTTAATACGATTTAATTCAGCATCGAATAATGTATTGATTGGGAAAACGTCATGTTATTTGAATTCAATTCAACACCATAAATATGTCCCACAATCCAAAAAAAAAAAATGGAAAATATAAAAAATGATCCATATTGCAATAAAAAGTTCTCCTTCTCTCTCTCTCTCTCTATATATATATATATATATATATATATATATATATATATATATATATATATATATAATAGAATAAATATACATTTGTTACTCAGCGTTCAGTAGAACTATGAGTTTCATGCGTGGCAGTTGTCAGGTACAAATAAAAAACTGACTGTTGTAAAAATATCAATGTTTACAATTAAGGTTAATATAGTGAAATGGTTCATTTATTTATAAGAAAACATGTAAAGAAAATTGGTAAAAATGAATATATTACAAAAAATAATTAATTTAATTCAGAAAAATAAATATATATTATCACATACAGATATATATATATATATATATATATATATATATATATATATATATATATATATAAGTATAAAAAAGTATTGATTAAACAAATAATTTAAGAAAAAAATATAAATGGATTTCTTAAAAAAACTCTGATTTATTACCACCAGCAATCACTGTACGCTAATATTTCCGCATATATATATATATATATATATATATATATATATATATATATATATATATATATGTGTGTGTGTGTGTGTGTATATATTCAACTAAAGTACGTCAAGATTTTTCTTCTGCAGATTACTTTCTTGATTGTCACATAGACACACACACACACACACACACACACACACATATATATATATATACGATTTACGATTCCAATGGAATAAATTATGACCATGGAATATTAGTGTTTAAGCCTTTTTTATTATATATATATATATATATATATATATATATATATATATATATATATACATACATACATATAAGTTATAGCCAACGAAAGTTCGATGTTCTCTCTCTTTCACGCACTCTCTTTCTTTCAGT